CCCCCCCCCGTTCACACCTTACACACACACATACACACATGCACACACTCACTCTCACACACACACACACACAATTTGAATTATTATCTACAAATCTCGAGAACGGAAACCGTTTGGAGAAATGGAGTTGAAGTAAAGTTCCCCAAACGTTCGGAGAAATAGAGCCTGCAAAAAAAAAAATGGGAGAAAAAAAAGTCAGTTCACCTGTGGGCAGGAGGAGAACATGATTTTCTATGGTAAAATGATGAAATCCAAATGCTAAAAAATAGAGATTCTAGAATCTAGAAACTTAAGTTTTTTTCTGTGCCTCCAAGATTTTACGATTTCTAAACTAGGCTACTAGGGGCCTACAGGCGTCTCACATGAGTAAGAGCCTGGCTGCTCAGCTGACATGCTATGCTGCTAACTCAAATTCAGGTCAAGAGAAAGGAGAGAAGGATCAACACTAGACTTTCTAAACAAAAACAAACTGAACTCTAGTAAGCAGCAATTCAATACAAATCAATATGTTGCTCTTGAAACACCCATATAAACATTCCAGGCTGATGTACTTGCCGAATATCCGCAATTTTTGGGCGCATTGCCAATGGTAATAGCCTCGGTATGCTGCCACTCCGCACATTACATGACTCAACTCAGAATCAACGCAGACACGGGATTTTCCTCGCTTCTCAAACCACCTCTATTTCTCTTAAGAAATAAACAGCAGTGTAGGAGACATCATAAATTCCCCATGCATCAAGCATGCACAAATAAAGTGTCATAGAAAATAACTACGCTAGAAAAAATTCCATGAGCGCTAATAATATTAACATTTTTAACCTTTCATCAACTGAAAACACAGAAGTCGAAGGTGCGGAAACGCAACACATCTGGAGGTCTAGCAGACAACCAACTCGACTCTTCACACGAACATCTATACTTCAGAAACAACCTTCACGTGCAATAGCCATAAGCATTACAGCACACCAGTTGTGCACTCATAATGCGGTGGACAAAACAACTTGACATTGATGTTATTAATACAAAATAAGAGAAATCTGACCTTACCTCATGAGTGAACGAAAGGAATTTACAGCCTGTCGAAAGCAGCCATCTTGGGAAGATAGTAGTGAAATCAATATAGGTAGTACATCCACGCACGAAGTCAAACCTGGTAGTGCTACACTGAGGGATGCGAGACTCGCACTGACGTTGTGCTGGAAAGCTGCAGTGATGTAGAATAATCATATTCACTGCGGCCGCCAACAAAACAAAAAACAGAAACAGAATTAAAAGTAAAGTCAAATCATGTTAATATTTCGCTATTCATATTCAACATCCTGCTATTAGCTAAACAATAGGCCTAGACCTAGATCTATACATAATTTGTTTCTTGTTAGACTTTGGGGTAAACCTTTATACCGACGTGTTGACTTTCTTGGGGCCAAGTGCACGTAAACCAAAATAAAAATCGAAGACTGCAAAAAGACACAATACTGTATTTTATGGAATTGATCGACGACACAATTCTGGTTTTCCATTGTTCTCAAAATGTTCTATACTCGAAGAAAGTGATTTTCGGTGTGTAATGGTTTCAAGTTAGGGCCTATTTACTTTTAGCTTTGGACATTGATAGACAGATAAATAGATAGACCGAGACCAAGGAGGTTACAGTTGTTTTAAGCTCCTTGACGGGGACATACATAGGCCTACATATTATTATGCATACAGACATACAGACAGATAGACAGACAGACAGACAGACAGATATATCCTGTAGATAGATAGATAGATAGATATAGAGGGGTGAGATACAGACACATACTACAGAGATAGATAGATAGAGAGAGAGAGA